CTATTTTAACAACAAAGCAACAAAATTAGTTTGAGGCAACTCAACATATTATTTAATAAGGAAAAGAATTTGAAGGAAGCATTTTCTCATTCTCATTCAGAAATAGTATTACGTATGATTCTATGCATTGCAATAAATTTTGATTTCCAGTGTTTCTTTTTTTGTTAAAATGTTTTTTCATTATTTAATTTATTTTTTTTGTTAAATTATAGGGCGGCAAACCTTATAGGCCCAGGGCGCCAAATTTTAAAATACGCCTCTGCACCGGTGTGCCATGATCCCGAGACTGTTCGTTTTTACAATGGATATATGCAGCACAAGTCTATCTGCGGTATTTACTTCATGTCGCACATTGCATGTTGTATTATGTTTGATGTTTCATTGGTGTACAACCGCACTAACCGTTTGTAACCGTGTTATAAAAGGTAACTGAAAGTACATCATATTCAGGGTTGCCAATACTTCCGAAAGTAGAACTACTAAATGAGACTATCGAATCTACTAGAAATCTACGAGACGAGAATAAAGTACTTTTTTATTTCAACCAAAAAAAAACCGGGGGTGACTTGCTATTGAGAAACCGATAAATAATATGTGATAGGTATACAAAACTACACAAAAAACTACAATAGATTTTTTTTTGTCATATTATGTATTATTGTATAATACCTATTGACAGCTAGTATTCTAGCAGAACGCGCCCAAGTACTCTATTTAATTAGTTAGATGGTAAATGGCGAGCGGTATATTGATGGTGTTTATTTCCTTTAGCGGCTACCTATAAAATTGTGGAGGGGGTCTATTCGCAAAAGAGAGAAACAAACTATTGTGGTTTACTAAATTATATTTTATTATACTTAAAACCAAAATTAATATAAAACAAATATCTTTCTATGTCTGACAGCCACTTCTATTTTTTCCCAATTCAAATAATTTCACATCTGTTCAAATTTCATTACTACGGACCAAGAAATATCCATACTAAAAACGCCCTACTTCTTCTATTCTTAATAACTTATAAGTTTATACATTACTCTTTCAAACAACACTCCGATTCACATTCCTATTAAACCTACCCTTCACCTATATCTATAAATTCTCAAAACTCCTGAGTCATTTACTGACTACTTATGCAAAATAATTATTTAAGTCATAATCCGACTTACTGAATTAAGTATATAATATGTATTACTAACTATATTTTTATAAAAACCTTACAATAATTTCTAAATGAAAAAAACCCTAATTCAAAATTTCAGCACTTAAGGTCATCAATGGTACTTTATGAACAACAATTTTCAAACAAAATTTTCCCATATTTTTAATGATTTATTCTTTTACTTTTAGTGGTTCCTATCCTTCACTAAGGATCATTTTGAACAGAACAATTACTATTTTCGGATTCCTAGCCAACAAACACAATTATTTAAAATCTTAGTAGTTCGTTACATAGCCCTTAAACTTCAATTGGACAATCCAATTCAACATTCTTTAATAATTCCTACTCAAAATCGAATATTGTTGAGAGCGTTATAATTTTCCTTTGTTAATTCTTTGCAAAATTAATTAAAATGTCATTATTCTCGAAAGCAATTAAAGTTATGCAATAAAGTTTTCACAGTCAAATCACTTAAGTTTTTATGCATTAAAGTTCAGTGTCAATTCACTTCTTATCATTCATCATTTATAAAGTCAAAAAGTTTTACTAGTCACTAGAGTACTTACATTTAACTTTGTACTCGTAAAATTACTTAATTAATTTACTTCAAAAATCTCTAGAGCTCGCACATATTGTTGAATGACTAAATGTTCTTTCTTTCACAATTTTCCGTTACTATTTCAAAGCTTAACGCGTTTTCCCGAGGCAATAAAATAGAAGAAACTCTTCGCGTGTTTTAACCGGACTGACTCATTAGGTACTGTAGATTTAATTCAAACTGGACTGAACTTAAACTCAACTAGACTTAAGCTTAAACTGATCTCAAGACTTCTAAAACCGCTGTATTTATATTTTTCGATCCCCCCAAAATTCCTATCCATCATTCATTAACCTTCCTCATTTATTTGTTTAAAACCGGATAATTATGTTGCAATTTCCTGGTTTATCGGGGTCAACAGATTTGTTTGTAAGAATGTGAGAACAACTCAAAGAAAACCGACAACACGTGCGGCCATAAATCACCTATTCAATTACTTTAGCCTCGCTTTTAATATCTTTGATTTAGGTGATGACATCATTTGGTGACTAAATAATAAAATTTTGAACGCATATAAATATTTTAATTAATTTGGGGGTCAACGTTATTTTGTTTCATTTTCAATTTGTTGATACTGATTTGAAATACAGGAAATTCAGTTTTTGATTATTTGATTACATTTAATTTTTACAGTAAAGACATTGTAAATTACGGGTCTATTTTTCCGGGTCATTACAGTATTATTGGCTGCAAGCCCAAAATTTTTGTGGTTTTTAAATATCCGACATTATAATAAGTAAATTTAATAATAAAATATGTAATACATTTATATTTTATTTTCAAACAAGATATAGGTATGAAAAGGGATATTCCTTCAATAAAAGAAACAAAACAACCACGAAGTCCAGGAACTAAAAATTATCATAAGATAAAGATAGTGATACATAAGAATGCTACCGGGGATTCCCCAGATTCTTCAAAATGAGAGAACGGTGATTGTGACGCATAGTATATTGCCATCTCGCCGCTCCATATTCAACCAAATTAGATGGCGAATTATCGGTTATAGTTACGAATATAGCGAAGCGAGTGTAGCGACACTAACAGGAGGTCGTTTAATTATAATTCAGATTCTACTATTCTACTAGATTTTCTACTGCCCACTAGAACATAAATTAGCCCACCAAATGAAGACGTGAATTTACCAGATTTAGTAGAAAATCCACTAAGTTGGCAACACATCATATTTTCAGTTACCTTTTATAACACGGTTACAGTCGGTTAGTCGTTAAAAATCCTTTTGGTTTTACTACATTAATTTTTATTCTAAAACAACTCTTTTAAGGATCTCGTTTGCATCTTCTTCTTTGCCTATTAATGTTAATTAAAATTCAATAATATTTTTCATCATAAATATACCTTTATTCTAAACTACGACCGCTGGCGCAAACAGCTAACGGCGTAGTTCATGACGTTGTCAATGGTGCTACACAATATGGCGACGATTCCCGAAAACGAGATCGATAAGCAATCCTGTGTAGTAGTGTGTATTATCTTTGGTGAAATAGTCCAGCATATATTTAGTGAAGTAACTAAACCTTTACAAACAGTGGTGCTGTTATAGAGCTCCCGCCGTCATTTTCTGTCCGTATATCATGGTAGGAAATTTTAGAGCAAAACCGATCATACATTTCTTGTCTTAGTTTTCCATAAACTATTATTTGACACCAACTTTGAATTTAATCCATGAATAAAAATTCCTATTAAACTCAATCTCCGATTAGATTCCGAGTTGGTGTCAAATGATAAGACACGAATGTATGATCCGTTTTGCTCTGAAATTAACCGTTAAGGTTTTACAGCAAAGCCTATAGTACTCATTACCGTGAAATTCGCTCTTTTTTGACATTGGTTCGACAATTTGACGTTTGATTCACGCACGAAACGTCAAATTGTCGAAGGTCGCAGCAATGTCAAAAAAGAGCGAATTTCGCTGTTATGAGTACTAGGCTTCAGTTGCGAAAAAGTCAATGCGCAACTGTCAATATTTCCGAAAGAGTTGATAGGTGCTGGTTATAGGTTCAGAATTTAACCATGAATTTGAAAATGAAATAAAAAATGGATACTTTCATAAAAATAGAGTTAGCTATCATAACTTATGTTTATGGGTCACTCTGTATACATGATGTTATCATCAAAAAAACGGCCACTAAAATTAAAAATCGACGTGTCCGAGGTTTTTTGAAAAGGTTCAACCCTGTATATTTTATGGATTTTATTCCAATCATTACATTACGTGCTCACTGTATAGTATAGTATTTTCAATATCCATTTTGGAATAGCCTCATATCCTTATTTATCAATCACGAATCAAATTGTGATAGAGATGACGACATGTGCACAACCACTGGTACTTCCAAAGAGGTAGGTATTTAGACTATATACAGGGTGTTCTTAATTTGCAAACGAAAACGAGAAAAGATAGCGAGATGTGTTTAGTTTTGGGAGAATAAGGATTTTTTAAAGTTTTTTTTTTTTTTCGTACAATTGCCGATTCCGAAAATTTCCCCAAATTTGGTTTAACAGACATGCGATTTTTTGAAATAAAGTTACTGCCTTATTTTAAATAAAAAATGAAACACCCTGTATATTTTGTCAAAAGCTTGATTTTTCTACTTACGAAAATAAATATATTTTTTTTAATAATCTTGGAATTGCATTGTAAAAATTGCACTTCGTTAAAGAGAGAACCATCGACTGGCCAAAAAAAAAATTGATAACCAATCTACATACAAGGTGTCTCAAATTCGAAGGCCAACAACATAGGGATATCAGTCACCATTAGAGATTTGAGGGTGGTTAAATTAGACAAAACTTGTGCATTTATGTGCCCAACAATTTGAACGTAGAACTGATAACAATAACTCGGAAGACAGATACATTGCATTGCCCCACCAGGCTTCCGAGTTCCGTACTAAACAGTTTCTAGTCAAGACTGATTCGATAGTTTTTCTAGATTTTTTAAATCATGATGTTGATCCTATCCTGTAGTTAAAGTTAACTATCCTTTGGTTAGTTCTGGACAGGTGCGTCCGTTTATATTCAACTGTGCCATTGGGTGGGTTTCGTTCCTGTTCTTTTATCCTTTATTCAAATTTTAAATAATTGATATCTCCATAAAATAAGCAACGACCTGGAATTTTGCGATAAACAATCTAAAATGTATTTAAAACGGCGAAAAAATCAAGAAAACATTTAGCTTTATGTATTCCAATAATTAGTAGATAGTCGTACTTTTAAACAATGTTGAATAACATGTACTATTTGAGCATTCTTTTGACAATATTCGGTAATGAAAATACTTTAAAGATATTAATTTTTATTTAATATTCAATTTCAGCTTTAGGGGAATTTAGGCCAGTAACAGAAAAATCTACACAAGTAGAATCTGAAGTTGAAAATAATGAGTTGAGCAGTAAGTTTTTACTTAATTCTGAACAATTTTCACAAAATTACTAATTAATATTTCTCCTATATTAGAAGCTGGAATTGCAGATATGTTGAATCCTTTAAATTGGAATCCCGCTATCAGAGGTACCAATGTGAACTTAAATAAATAAAAACACAAAATTTAAAAATACAAATTATTTTTAGGAAACAATTCAGCTGGTTTATTTCCAAACAGCCCATTTCAAAATCTACTAAATAGAACGCAATCTGTAAATAATGTTATGAACGACATTAAACTTTTCTTTGTTACTGCTCAAGGGGCTATTATGCCTGCTAGTGTCCTCACTGGAGGATTCACTAAGTTTCTACAAGGATTAGGAAATATGGGGAATTTATTCGGAAATTTAGGACAATCTGTACAAAACTTTGGAAAATAATAATGAATAGATGAATAAAAAATAAGAACATACATTTACTTTTCTATCCAAGGAAATGTCTTTGCAATGGAAAAATTATAATGGCCACTTCTGACGAAGTATTATTAAAATAAGGGATTTTAGCAAGCTTTCGCTTATTCATCATTTATTAAAAATACAGGCTTGCAGCAGTATAGAATTTTGTCGTTAAGTCAGCTTTGTCATAGAAACCACTATGTAATTTCGTGTTTAATTAAAATAAAACTTTTTAAAATCACAAGTAAAAACAATCGAATTATTTATCGATCATAAAAAGAACCAAAAGAGGACTTTAATTTTTTAGGAAAGACTCAAAAATACATACGGCACGTTAGATGCTGATGACGGAGAACCTTATGATAATTACGTCAGAACCCTCCAAGAAAATCAAAACACATTACAACAAGACATATTTTCAACCCAAACAATTGTTAATTAAAAAATTGACTGAAGATATCGATCGATACACAATTAAATGAATTCAAAAGTAACCAAGAAACTTTGTTAACCCGAGTTAATGACGAGACAACGACGTACTTCATTCTCTTACTTGATGACTTATGCCCACTTGCACCGTTTTGTCTTACTGATCAGTTTAATTAACGGACAAGTTAAAAATTGAGAGCAGATTAATTTCTAAAGCCTTGCACCGCGATTTTTCAGGTAAGGCTCAAAATTTAACTAGGGATATAGGAAATTTCACTAAAAATTGAGAACACCTGGTACTAGTTAGTTAGAGTACAAGTTAACTTCACACTCATTTCTGACGCAAATATTTTGACGTTAATGGTGGCAATTAGGTTTCTTCTAATATTCCTTTCAATTTTTCGATTTTTTATTTTGGAGGAAAGGAAGAAAAAAAAGGGTCGATCCTCAAACTTTTCGGAAAACGAAATTTTATCAATATAGTGACCAGATACAAAGGTACCATCGAAAATAAAGAGACAGATAAGGCGACAAATCAAGAAAAAAGTGCAGCATGGGACAAAATTACCAAAGAATTTGATTCCGCTTTCCCTGTAACAAGCTACTGGTCGAAAGAGTGTTTAAAAAGGGGTTCTAAGGCTCTAGCCAAAGTCTATGTTCTAGTGACTTTAGGCGAGGGACAAGTCACCCAAAAAATTTTGTACACTGGAATTCCTCTAAATGGAAATTTCTTGAAATTCCGTGCAATTCCTTATAATTCCACACAATTCCCGGTAAATTCCACACAATTCCTTATAATTCCTTGCAATTCCTCGCAATTTCCTTCAATTCCTCGCAACTCTTGGACAAACAATTTTATGTTTAAATAACCTTTTTGCAATTGAATATAGGTTAATATGTTTAAATTATTTAATTATTGTAATTCTGTTGGAAAGTACAATAATAGCCGTTTGCACCGATCATTTTAAGGGAGGTTTAACAATAATCAACCTATAAAGTGACATTAGGCAATTCAAACCACGTGACATTCAAGATGGCGTGGCGGCCACACATGGGCCAAAAAACACAAAAAAATATCTAGTTTCTGCCCGAATTAATAGTTTAGGTACCTAGTCAACAAATATTTTATTAAATAATGAAAATCAAAGTTGTAAGCAAAACTGTATGCAAAATAATTTAAAATACGCATAAAAACATATCCAAAACAAACTTGCTTGGCCGCCACGCCACATTGAATTTTCCTTTTTGACAGATGGATTGAATTGCCTAATTTTCACATGTAAGAATGTCACTTTAAACGTTGATTATCCTTGAACCTCCCTTAAAATAGTCGGTGCAAATGGCCATAAGAATATTCATGTGGTTAACTGTTCCTCAAACTTGCCTATGGGTAGCTTTATTCTGGATTCAATTTTGTTTTTTTATCTGTATAATGTTGATAGGGATGGTAGAATATTGTTCATGTTACTGTGTAAGGTTTCATAAAGTAGATTGCCTCCTAAGTAAAACAAATTCAAAGCAAATTTTTTGAAATTATCGTCATATACAGGATGTCCACTTAGGGCGATATCGGACGATATGTCCTTACAGGGCAAGAAGAAAAAAATTAAATTACAAAGTTGTTTGATACTCTAATAGGCATTTGTTAAAAATATTTTTGAATATACAGGGTGCTCTGTTTATGGGTTATGCAACAGAATTTTGTTATTTTAAATAGAAAACCCTGTATGCAGTGATGTTAGTGGGTCATGATCAGCGCGCATGACGGCGGGTCATGAAGGTCATGACCGTCACGTCACATTCGATGTGACCGTTGGTAATGACCATTTTACCGCATAGGGTGGAAATGTGCAGTAAAATAGACTGCATAGTATGGGGTAAAGTAGAATCGGTATTCAAATACATTCAGTAGATACACAAATCCGTTCCCGTTCAGAAATTTCAATAATGCCTTCTTTGGGAGGTATAGATGCTCATATGTAGGTATAATTTTGTGCCTAACACATGCGGAAAATGCCTTTACTGCACTTAACGACTGCCGTTGCGTGCGGTAAAGTATCACTTCTGCATTTGTTAGGTGAATAACTAATTATTTTTGTTATTTTATTTTACCTACTATTTGTTGAAATTTCTTTATTTTCTGAAATCTTTGATAATTTGTCAAAACTTTATAATCAATAATTGACTATCCCTGTTTAAACCCGATTAGTGAGTTAATAGATGATAGACTATATGTAATGGCGTTTTAAATTGAAATAATTACTATGAACTATGACCATGGTCATGACCGTCATGACACGTCATGACGCAAATGACCGTCACGATTTCAGATGACCGTCATTTCACATCACTGCCTGTATGTGATTGAATATTTGGATTCTGCGTGAAATTCTGAGCAGATTTCATGTAATATACCCTATACCTAAGTTCAACTGTTTTGGAAATATTGACAGTTAAAAATTGAGTTTTTGCAACTTTGACAGGCTGTAAAACCAAAACGGTTAACTTTAGACGAAAATCGATTTTACATTCCTATCTTAGATTTTCATAAACTATCATTTGACATCAACTTTGAATTTAATCCATAATTTAAAATTCCAGTTAAATTTTTTCTCCGGTTTAATTCAAAGTTGATGTCAAATGATAGTTTATGAAAATCTAAGATAGGAATGTAAAATCGGTTCTCGTCTAAAGTTAACCGTTTAGGTTTTACAGCCTGTCAAAGTTGCAAAAAGTCAATTTTCAACAGTCAATATTTTCAAAACAGTTGAACTCAGGTATAGGGTATATTACATGAAATCTGCTCAGAATTTTACGTATAATCCAAATATGCAATGACATAGAGGGTGTTCCATTTAAAAAACCAAAGTTGCATATTGGGGTACCTATCAAAGAACTTTGAATTTTTTTTTTGCTTACATCACCCTGTGAGAAGATATCGTCCGATATCGCACTAAATGGAAACCCTGTATATTCTGTTTATTTTCACTGTTTTTGGTTGCAACATCTAAAGTTCGCCTTACGAGTCTAGCACTATGGAAAGAATGCGGATAAAAAATTGCAATATTGCCATTGCCTATTTGACTTCCAATAGAAAATACCTTTCTATGTTACACACCTACATTTATAAGGAAAAAGTAATATTTAAAAACGCTGCGCGCACGCCTATGACAGGCAGCATAAAGCTCGAAATAAATGGCGTTATTCCCGCTTGCCCTTCAGAAGTCGTAGTGCTAGACTCGTGAGGCGAACTATATGAGAGTTTCTAGGAATGCTTTTCTTGTCATAGTCGAACTCTCGGTCGAACTTGACACGTTAATAAAATGTACATCACAGAACTGTAAATTTTTGATAGTGTTGTTAAGTTTAGTGTACAACAATTTTTGATGCTGCCTCAAATTCCTTAAATAAGCTGTCCTTCAACCTAAAAGCAAGTCTCTCTGGTCATTTTTTGAGGTTAGAATTCATGAAAAATGACTAGCGATGCAACGTTGCCAGACTATGGCAAACTAAGCGAGTAAGGGAACGGGGTTTAAGCACTTCAAGATGAATGTGAAGTCTGCTTTTTTTTAAAGATAATTCCCCAAGTCAAAAATTTAGTAACTATGTTGGCAACACAAGCCTTTTCTACATAAGAAATTAGATAGCATTTACAATTTCACATTGTATTGCCAACATAAGGTCATTTTGACTTTAATCTTAAAAAAAAAAAAAAAAACTTTATGTACCTATAAAAGTGTATCCGAGAGTGTATCACTGTATTTTGAGCATAGGCTAAATCTTTAATTACACAATAGATGTATCACTGGCGTAGAATTGAACGAGGATTTGAAAATGTCTGTTCATTTTATGAACACACTCTGTGATAAATACTAAAGCAAACTATTTTTTTTGCTTACATATAAAGTATATAATCATGGCTTTCGGTATTCTGTCTGAAGCAGTTATAAAATGATACCCAAGTACTTTACCTTTTTATGTTGGACAAAGTTTGGCAACACTGAACATTTTTTCTAGGTTCGAAGTGATAACAATTCCACGCAAACCCTTGAAATTCCTCGAAATTCCTTGAAAATTCTCACAATTCCTCGAAATTCCTAGCAATTCCTCAAACTTCCTTGCAATTCCTTGAAATTCCTCGCAATTCTTTGCGCGTGTACACTAAAATTCCTAGGTGATTTCCCCCTCGACTTTAGGTCCCAACTTCTATATTCTCTAAGTAGCCGAAATTCTTAGCTGCAGCCTGATAGAAATATTGGTGCGTCTAAGGAGAGTTTTAGCACGCTTGACTCTAATTTGGATGATGATGACTCGATCTTTAAACCAAAAAATTGTTTTTCACGCACACCACCCCAGAATATTGAAACATACAATGAGCAGCAAAATGAGGCTAACAATGATGAACATGAGGTAGTAGAACAAGAACTTTCCAATATAAGCTCTCAGAAAAGAACAAGATCTGGTTCAAGTCCTGCAGCAATGGAGAACAGAAACAAAATAAGAAAGCCCAATTTGGATTATTTAGAACCTGTTACAAGTAACAATGCAGAAGTTGG